TTTTCCATCGTCTTTTGAATCAGCATCACTAAATGTCTGTCGAGGAAACCATTTGAAAAAAAAAAGAAACATCAGAATGTTTCAATCACATAAGCAAGAATTGACAGATTCGACAAGACCAAACCAATTGGAACCTTATCAACAACTGTCTGGACGACATCATCTGACAATTCCAAATCCGATTCCTGAAGAAGGGCCACTACCATCTCCTTCAACTATCAAATAATCCAAAATTTAGGCAGAATACAAATTTGAAAACAGAATCACTGCTAAAATAATCATTTTCATTTTTCAAAACATTCGACTCAATTCTCTGATTTTATAATTCTTCTGAAGTTCGTGAATGTAGGATTATGGGGGAAAAAACTTTAAACATTCAAGTTCTCAGCATATTATAGGAAATATACTATATGGTATGCAAGGGAAAGAAACGGAACACACCTCCTCCTGTTCAATGAAACCAGTTTGCCTTAGATCATATAATCTGAAAGCAACTGCCGTAAGATTCTTCCCTGATTAGTAATTTCATCACCTGACTAACAAAAACCAAATTCAGTAAGATTCTTCCCTGATTAGTAATTTATTCATCACCTGACTAACAAAAACCAAATTGACATGCAGAAGAAAATGGATATTTGTGTGTGAGGGTGGGCGGGTGCAGGTACACCTACATGCATTATAGTCGAGGGAAATATTAACCTTACAGTAGATTTTTTCTTCAACTGGAGCATTTGGATGGAAGACACCCAAAGATTGAACGAATTCCCCAAACTCAATGACTCCATTGCACTTGACATCAAACAAATCAAACATCTGCAGAAGTACCAGAAGTAGATGCAACTTAGAAAGAAGGTAAAGGCCATAGCACCAGGCGGCTGCACCATGACCATATGAGGAAGAATCTCTAGCATTGTGAATTATTAAAATTCTCTGAGAGGAGCCATAAAAGGCCTGAAAGATGCACCACTATCTATACTTCTTCAGCACCAACATAAAGCTAAAAGCAAACTATCCCAATATCATAGAATTTGTTGGCATACATACCCTGTTTACAAACAGATTCTTCTTATTGTTGTTCCTGAAGAGCGCAAACTGAAGATCTTCCTGACAAGAAGCGAGCAGACATTAAAATGATATCACCAAGCCATGATTGTATACATGCTGAAATTAACACACATCATTTTAAAATGGCACCTAATATCCATACCTTGCTAATAAATCCATCGCCAATGACTGCACTACTTAATTTCTTAAAAAGTTCATGTAAGGCCTCTACTTCACTTACAGTAACTGCAATAAACAAAAATCAACAGTTAACAGTTTCTTGTCTAGTGAACTATCAAATAACTATTTCAACTTAATAATTTAAATTTTTAAATAAAATTTCAAGATATGATTTATATTATTTTTTAACGTATCCTTTCAAGTTAAAATTCTTTAAGCTCGAAACTTGTATAGATCCACGTTATTTTATATTTAATTTTTATTAAATAAATAAAAGTGATCAAATTTGAACTTGTGATAACTTAATCATTAAGACTCTAATATTATATCAAAAAAATATCTTAACCCAATCATTTAAATTTTTAAATAAAATTCCAAAATATAATTTATATTATTATTTAACATTTAGCTGTTTCATGCAATGATTTTCACGATATGAAATGGTACTTTTAGCAGGGCAAGCAACTAACTCTGAGCAAGCTGTTTCTAGCAGAAACTTAAACTAATAATTAGGAACAGAATTGTTTTTTCCTTCTCCCCTTTTCCCCTAACAGCATCATATGCATGCTTCTTATTGTTTCAATATTGTCAAAAAAAGGTTAATATACAGGAACCAATCAAGGCACTCTCTATCCATCCATGTCGTAAACAAAAAACAACAGTTGTCCAGAAATTAGTGGCATATCCATTGAAGCATAGCTAGGAAGTAGGCTCGTTGATAATGCATACTCACAGGGTGTTCCAGAAGCAAGAACTGTCAGCTCTTTACACCATGCTGTCGTTTTTGACCTCTTTGACTGGCAGCAGCCCATGATCAAGACAACCAGCACGATCCACTTATAAAACTTTTTGGAAATCAGCAGGCATGCCAACGGTGGTTTCTACTGAAAAAAATCCCACCTGGCAATTCCCAAAGAAATACGCTAGATTGGAATAATTGCTAAGCTTGAGTATCTGCAGCCTTTAACCTGCTGAGAAAGATCAAATCCACGAAACAAAGACATATATCTGGTCATGATCAGAAAAAAAGTAAAAAATCAAACCAATTGATCCACCATAGCTGAAAGCACAGAGATCAAGGTTAAAGCAAAAATTCTTACCTTGAATTGCCGGGTTTTTGGAATCTTATGGATATGCCTCTTCGTTTAAGGATGTAAGAGCTCAACTTAAGTGGTAAGATCAAGAAGACGGTGTCATCAGCACAAAGAAAACCCACAAAGCAGACCTTTACTTGTCTATGGCAAGACTCCTCCGGTCAGGTATGATGAGTTTTCAGCAACCATTTTCTTCCATGTCACTGCCAGTTGACATTTGTCCAAAACGTACTCTCTTTTAGCCACACGTCCAATTTGTAATCTTTTTGAAAGCTTGCGTCTATAAATCTACATCCTCAAGAGCATAAATTAATATAAAGATATGGTTGAATTTTCAAAACTTTCGAACACGACAAAGAATTTAACAAGTATTATATGGTACTTACTACCAAACAAAGTCGTAAGCTGACATGACCATCCCTTTGTAAAGTACAAAAAGCTTAGAGATGGATTTGAAAGGGAGCAGAACTATATGAAGACAATTATCCACTAATTCCCACAAAACAGATAAAGAAAAGTTGGACTCAACCCATAATTTGGTTCAAGTTTTGGGATGGGCTGGACAAGGGAAGGTATATTGTTTTAATTTTTTTTTTAAAATTACAACCATAATATTTTGTTTTTTTTTTAAATTCAAATCAAGTTTCATTTAACTTTTAACAGAATTAATCAAATTATAAATTAATCTATCAAATCACTTAAACTTACTTAGATTAACTCTCAATTTAGCACAATGTAAAACCTAGTTTTAGCCAAATTTTAGACCAAAGAATCATTAGATTGATCGCAGAGTTGTGACAGGTTTTCTAAAAATGCTCTCCCTCACTCCTTGTATAATGAAAACATTGAAATTATATTTTCTTTATTGGATATAGAGTTATTATAGAATATTGAGGAATGCAGTAATATATAATTTAGATTATTTTTGATGTGTTAATTTTAAAAATAATTTTTTAAAAATAAAAAAATTATTTTAATATATTTTAATATAAAAATTATTTAAAAATCAACTATAACTATATTTTTAAAGATACATATTTCCTTCCGTCTTGAAATCGATTTTGAAAATGATGGCAAATTTCATCGAGTGATGATTCGCCGGGAGAGATATCATACATGTGCAATAGGCTCAAATAATACCTGTCATTTGACAGGATATTTTTCTCAGTATGCCATTAGTTGTTAAATCCTATTCGCCTGTCTCGTGCACTGACCTAGAAAATGTAGTTTTTGAAACCTGTTATGAACAGGCTTCTTAGTTGAATTAATGAAGACATTTACATGAGAAAACTTGATAGACTTTGCTAAAATAATATCTCAAGGAAAGTGATGATGGATTGGCAAGCAACGAGGTTCGCATCCTGAAACTTACAGCTAGAATCCACTATGCACACCTGTTGGTTAACATTTCAAAGGTTCTCATAACCCGTCTTCAAGTTATATGTCCTGATCGGCCATTGCTAAATAAGGAAGGTTCCCTTCAAGGTTTTTGCATGCATGGTTAAACCCATGTTTGATCTGTACTGTCCAACTAAATTACGGAGTTCTCCTGTAATCTCTAAATGGATTGCTTCAATTTACATATTCAGATTATATATAAAGTATGTGATTCTATGAAATGACCTCTGTGATGCTATTATTGTATTAAACTCAATCTAGAAGATTAAGGAAGACAACTACTAGTTGTCACCACCTAGCCGTCAGCTATATGCCGCCAGTTACCTTCACACTTGAAGTTTCATTTTTTATTATTTTTAATTTGTGTATGAATAGACAGCTAAGTTTATACAATTATGTATAGAGAGAAATAAAGTAAAAAATGGCGTGTATTGAGTTTTTGTTTAATTAATTGTAAGCTTTTGTTCTTGAAATAAAACAATGTGTTTGATCTCCTTTGAGTTTTTCAAAACCACCACCAGTGCTTTCTCCCATCAACAATTGGTATTAGAGCACCGTTCGTCCGAAAATATAAGAGGTTTTGAGATATATCCGATTTTTCACATTTGTCAAAAACAATTTTTGATCATTCCATATTGTAGGGATCATTTATACAAACTCACTAGTGTAAAAATCAGCTTCATCAGAGAAGGA